GATTCACTATTGGGAAGATATGACCCAGAAGAGTTCACCAAATCCCAATACCCAAGAATGAAGGGAAAGTGCTCAAAGGTAGAAAGAAACTTAAGGCAAACAAAATTAAATGGTACTTAATGAACTAAGGAGAAACATAAGGGCCTTTTAAAATTAAGAGATGGTAAAAAATAAATAAAATAGAAGAGAGAGAGAGAGAAATGGTACAAGCTAAAAATATAAACAATCTCAAAATGAATTCAGCTACATTTTCAGATGAAAGATTCATGATAGTATTTAATGGATTTTAATATATCTGAAATATAAACTAATAATATTTTAGAACACACAACAATCTTAGAAATCAGGGATTTCAATAACACCCAGCAAATTAGAAGCTGACATGGGAATAGAACCCAGGTCCCCTGACTCTAAAGCCAGTGCTTTGTCCCCTAATTATGCTGCTTCTCGTATCACTAATTTCTGTCACAAGCTAAAACTGAGGAGGCCACAGCTGAGGCATGGAGCCTTGTGAAAGCCTCTGACTCTGACTTAGATGACACAATTCCTGAACAGAGATCTGAGGACAAGATCTCAATAAGCTTACCTGTTTTGCTGCTGCCAAGGCCAAATCGCTCTGCTTCAAATACAAAGGGGCTGCCACATTCCACAGCTTCTCCTGCAACGCCTACAGAGACAAATCAGGAGAGGAAAGAGCACAAAGGTTAAAAAGACTGCCAAATCATTTGAGGCTTGTATTTGTTTTGCTTTGAAAATTGACCATGATCAGGACTTTCTTCCAATTTTATTCTTTTAAGTCAATAAGCCGTACTTGTTATGGACAGAGAGACCAATGGATTGGGTCAAATGAACTCCTCCCCATTCAATTCTTAGCCCTAAGACCCTATATCCTAGACTACAACTTGCAAGCAGAGTGCAGGAGCCATGAAGGCCTCAGCACAATGTCCAGGCAAGCCAGGCCTCTAAGGACTACTCTGACTGCCTCGACGCTTCTTCCCTGACTTAGTTCTTTTTTCTTTGCTCTATGCTCACTGTCCTTTGAACAGCCCCATCACCTTACCAACATATTCACCCAAGAAACCAAGGAGCTTTCCTAGATTCCCCCCTCTTTCAACCTCTCTACGTTCAAAACTATCACTGAGAGCCACAGATCTTACATTCCATCTTTCTCCCCTCCTATCCATCCATGTAGCTCCATCTCTCAAATAAACTACTCTTATTTTCACAGTCCTTCTTAATTATAGACATAATCTAATGTCTAAACATAGAATAAAACTGTCCAATAGAAACAGCACAAACCATGTATGTAATTTTACATTTTCTAGTAGCCACATTTTTAAAAGTAAAAAGAAATAGGTGAAATTAATGTTAATAATATAATTCAACCCAGTATATCCAAGATATTATCACTTCACTATACAGTCAATATTTTTAAAGTTGTTAATGAGGTAGTTTACATTTTTTTCATACTAAGTCTTAGAACTTCGGTGTGTATTTTGCTTTTATAGCACATCTGAATTTGAACATTTCAAGTGCCCAAAAGTCACATGTACCTAGTGACTATCATGTTACACAGTGGCAGGTCTAGACTACAGACATAGAAATTTTTAAATTACCTAAATCATACTATCACTAACAGAGTTATTGTTTTTGAATATTTGTTTCCAAACATTTTTAATATGCATTTTTATATAGTCATAGAAAGCAGAAGTAATTTTGCACGCTTTTTTGGCTATATAACATTATATCATATTTTGTCATGCTGTTATATAATTCTTCACAAAGATCATTACTGCTACAGAATATACTGATAAATAGATGTGCCACAACATTTTTAGCTTTTCTCCTATTATCAAACACTGGCCTGCCTTAGGTTCTAAGTCTAGGTCCCTTACCCCTGCTCTGCTCCATGATGTTGAGTAAAAAACATAGTTCTATGTTCTTTTCAGGAGTAATCTCTTCTCTTTTCCTATGCAGAAGACAGCAAGTCAAGGAAGAAGACCAACACTGACATGGCACTCATTATGTACCAGACACTAGACCAAGGGTTTTCACATACACTGCTTGCTACCATTCCTCACCTGGGTAGAGTTATTATTAGCTCTGTTTCATAGAAACTTGGAAAAGCCAAACAATCTTGCAAAAGGACATGAAGGAACTCTTTTGGGGTAATGTAAATGTTCTATATATCTTAACTGTGGTGGTGGTACACAGGTATATACATTTGAAAGAACCTATCTAGGTGAATAAGGGCTATTTTAACCCCAATCTACTTCAATGTACACCCCCACCTTCACATGCATACACACACCTGCACAACCCTAAGCACATACCTTAACAGCAGAAAATAAATTTCTCACCTCTCCATTTACTCTCTATTGGTCAAATATCATTAATAACTTTGAAGAATAACAACATTTAGAAGTAAAGCCAAGATAAAAGTCTTAACAAGTGAGAAAGGCTCCCCTGAACTCTAAGCCTAAATTTATAGTATAACTCTGATGCAGAAGCTGAAAGCTACTGAGCTAGTTTAACTGGTTTTCAGCTCAGCTAACTGAAACACTCCTTGGGTACAATTTTGTGTGCTATATATATAATCTAACTATCTAGTATGAAATGCCAGCAAGTTGGCCCTTTGAAGAGCAATGAAATCAACCTTTGATTAATGTGACTTTGACAAAGTGAAATTAGCATTAAAAATAGTAATGTAAAAGTTTATACAATATTTTTGCTAACCAAATTATTTTTAAAAAATCCTTGGGATTCTAATGAAAATGGTTACTCAATCTACTCTAATTATATAATGATGAAAGAATTTTCCTAAATTAAAATACTTCAAGTTTCTCTATGAGTTAGCAATTCTTTAATTAGAGATAAATATAATTATACTGCAGGGTACATAATTTCTCCATTGCTAAGCGACTGCATAAGACCATATACTTTTCCACTTATGGCCTCAAACACTGCTGGATTCATTAAACTGCCTTTTTTGGATCACACTTGTAAACATAACGGCTCCAAACCAACCTTGATGAGAAGAAGCTGACACCTAAGATAGGTAGCAGAGAAGTCAGCTACTCCTGCCAATTCACACTGAAGCTCTCCAAGTCTCTGCAGATCCCTGTAGTAAAAAAAAAAAACAAAAAAACAAAAAAACAAAAAAACCCCCGAGTCAAACAAAATAAAGATAATGACAACCATTAAAGATCATGTCAAAAGCATTTTACCATTTTATACCTAGTAAATTGGTCAAAAAATTTTTAAATGACAACATCCAATGCTAAAGTGGTTATAATGAAACTGGTTTACTTGCACTTTGACAGCAGTTTAAGCTGATAAAATTCTTCTGGAAAGTAAAACTGTATTGTTATAAAAGTCACACATATGGTCAAATATTCTGATCAGTAGCTTATGCTGAGAAGGAAAATATTCAACAGAAAAGAACTGCTTTTTGCCCCACAATATTCACTGTTGTATGGACTATTATAGTAATACTTAAATACTCAGTGGTAGAGGAATTATTAAATAAGTTACTGTACAACCAATCAATGACATATTCTACAACCATTAAAATATAATATGGTAGTAATGATCCCAACTATGTAAAAAATATACATATATAGATAGACAGACAGACAGACAGATAGATACATATATACATACGAGAAAAATGGAGCAAACTTTTCTGGATAGAGTATTAGGGTGCTTCTTAGTGCCTTCTCCCAACCATGCTTTATTTTTTAAATGTTTTATACAATGGATAAGTATGTTTTATATCATAAAAAAAAATTTCTAAGGTATTGTACTCCATTTGCTGCCTACCCAGTTAGCCATTCTCTACTTCTTCCCTACTAACCCTGATTTTCTTCTTATCCCCAAACCTAGTTCCAGGTAGAGTGTGACTGGATTAAGCCAATTAACACATGTCATCTCCCTGGTTATGGACCTAAGTTGGCCTTATCAGTCCTAATGGAAGGACTTACATTCCATGCTTGAAGCAGGTCTTATGGTGGTCTCTGAGTCTCTCTTTCTCACTAGACTGAACAAGAATGTTTTATAGCCCTGATTATCACTGGCAGCCATAGTATAAGTATAAAATGAAAAAGTCTTGAGATAAAGCAAATGCTGAGATCAGGAAAAATCCAAAGAAACAGAAAAACTGGGTCCTTAATGATATAAATGAACCACTTAACCGTAGCATACTTAGAAATGCCTCTGATTACTGTTCATATGAGGAAATAAGTAACCATTATGAGCTAATTTGAGATAAGGCTTTCTGATACCTGCAGTTGAAGCTCCTAACTGGATACAGGTATAGACAAAGTGATTGGAACCATATAAAACCTATCTGCCTGTGGATAAGAAAATAGAAAGTGACACACACAGATAAAATAGTTGTACTGGGGGCTATGATTACTAATTTTAAATTTTTAATTTTTCAATAGTACCTAGCTATAGAATTACACCAATAAGGAACAGAATTCAAAAGATACTAAAAGATACACAAGTAAGTTAATCCACTTTCCTATACCTGTGTGCTGCTAACCAATGCACTCTTTCCAGAGGCAACCACCACTACCAGTTTCTTTTAAATTCTTCTGGAAATACCCTATACATCTACAAAAAGTAACATTTTTCTTTTCCTTCTTCTTTTTTCGATAGGAGTGTTTATATGTGCGTGTGTGAGACCTAACAATCCATCTCAGAAAGAATTTGTAAAAAGTTGCCCTTTTTTTAATGGCAGCATCAAAATGTCACTCAGAATCAATAACTGTGGGAAACCTAAAGATATGGCTCATGAGGAAAATTAACTGTTCCAGGGCTGGCATAATATATCAGGTTTTGTAGCAGCCTGCACAGAACTGTCCATTGGACTAAGCTCCTGCCTCTAATCTCAGGCAACTTTCTGATAGCCAATACTGCTTCCTGAGGACCTTGATGCCAGAAAGAAGATGGCCTGGAAAGGGACAAAAAGTGAATTACTCCAAAAGTGACTGAAGAAATTGGGGTCTGTGGCTTATATACCATCTCTTGTGAATTTTGGTGGTTTGAGCTGATCCTGGAGAGCTCGCTCTTGTGTGGTAATCCAGCCCAATAAAAAGCAAGACCCTGTACTACCTAACCATACCTTGAAAATGCTATTTTGGTGGTCAGCTGGTCTCTCTCTTTTGCACCTCTGATGTCTCTCTTGCAAAAAAAAAAAAAATCATTCTACTTCTGAACCATTTCATCTCCAGAAACAATCTGCTTTCTGTCACAATTACAGACAACACTGACTAGCTGACTATATGTTAGCTGACTGCCCCCAGGTGTTTAGTCATTATACCACCCTTGCACTGTAGCAATTGTTCTGAACTGCACAGAACAAGATGCAACCCAACTAGCCATGGGAAACCTGAATTACTGTACAAACAAAAACAGAAACTTGCTAGCCCTACGCAAAACACTCAGTGTCCCAGTGAGCCAAATCTCTCTGTGCCTCTTTATGCCCACAATCCTCAGGAAGCTTCAGTTTATACATCCATCAGGAGACTATGGACACTTCATAAAAAAGGTACAGAAAGCACCTTTTATGCACACTGTACTAAGTATGCTAGGTGTCTCCTTACTCAAGCTTATTTAATCCTTAACATGTGAACTGCAATTACAGGCATACCTTGGAAAATTGTGGGTTCAGTTCCAGACCACCAGGATAAAGTG